GAAGGGAAAAAAGAAGGTCTCACCTCTGTGCCTGGCTAGATCATAGATCAGAGACTCTTGAAGGCCCTGCTAAGAACTATAGAAAATAAAGATGAGGTGATTGGTGGTAATTAACACGGCTTCACCAAGAACAAGTCATGCGTGACAAATTTGGTGGTCTTTTATGATGGTGTTACAGCATCAGTTGATAAAGGAGGAGCAACAGAAGTCAACTACCTGGACTTGTGCAAAGCATTTGACACTGTCCCGCACAACATCCTCATCACCAAATTAGAGAAAAACAGACTTGGTGTATGGACCACTCTCTGAATAAGGAATTGGCTGGATGGTCGAGCGCAGAGTTACAGTCAGCGTCTCGAAGTCCAAGTGAAGACAGGTGACGAGTGGTATTTCTCAGGAATTGGTGCTGGGATTAGTGTTATTTAACATCTTTGTTGGTGATGTGGGCAGTGGAATTGAGTGCACCCCTCAGCAAGTTTGCAGAGGACACCAAGCTGAGTGGTGCAGTTGACATGGTAGAGGGAAGGGATGCCATCCCCAGGGACTTGAACAGGCTTGAAAAGTGAGTCTGTGTCAGCCTCATGAAGTGCAACAGGGACAACTGCAAGGTCCTACACCTAGTATGGGGCAATCCCAAGCACCGATACAGATTGGCTGGAGAATAGCTTTAGAGCAGCCCTGATGATAAGGGGATGTCAGTTGATGAAAGACTTAACATGAGCTGGCAATGTGCATTTGCAGCCCAGAAGGCCAACAGTATCCAGGGTTGCATCAAGAAAATTGTGACCAGCATTTTGGGGAAGGTGATTCTGCCCCTCTTCTCTGTACTTGTGAGACCCCACCTGAAGAACCGTGTCTAGTTCTGGGGCCTCCAACACAAGAAGGAAAAACAGAACTGTAATTTAATTTACCTTGCTCTTTGAGTAGTGGACTACTTTTATATATACGCCTTACATTTCCATAAACTTATCTTAAGTTAGAAATTTATTTTACAATTTCATGCATATTGTCTCCACAATAAAACCTCTTTACATTAATGAGAAAAATTATGGCTACTTTGAACAAAATGTTATATTTCAGCAAAAATATACTTTTTGATTGAAAAAAAACAACAAGCCATGCTTCACTGACTTTTGCAAAAAAGTCAGTCTTGACCAATTTACAGTTAAAGGTTTTATAAGTGACAATTGATTCACTCAAAGAAATGAGATATTATAAAAAATTACGTCTTAACATTTTTTTTTCTTTCATTTTGTTCTTTTCAGTGTTTGATCTGGAATATCAACAATAGACCAGTGAGTAAGTGTAAGTCAGGTTCATAAACTTATGCTTAAATCTCTGGCAATACTTTTACTGTTTTTCTGCCTGTTGTTCTTTAAACATCCCATTGTAGATTACTGCCATGTCAACCTCCATTTCTTTGAATTACCTTCTATGCAGCTAACTATAAGGAGAGATAACCTTTTGCTGGAAATTCCTTCTCTTTTAGTAAACTACTATATAAATTAAATATATTATATTTTCTTTGAACTATTTGATAACAAATAATAAACGAATGCTGTTCTCTCATGTTCCTGGTAAGTGGAAAGTTTTTTTTTTCCTACTTGAGTTCATAATGATTAGAAAAAGTAACAATAGCGTCAGTCTCATGACATTCCTCATCTGTTAGCAATATCTGTTTCGTATATTACTTATTTCCTGAGAAGATCTTAAAATATCTTATAAAGGATGTAATGGCATTTTCTTAGTTTTACAGATAAAGAAGTTCAAAATAGTTTCATGTTTTTTTTTAGTTTTTGTTATCAGTATTCCATATCATAACATAATGTAGAGCATTGGGAATTAAAGAGTTAATGCTACAGTTCCGAGGATTGCTAATTTTCCAGGTATCTGGAACAGGTACCTGGTTCTCAGAAGAGAAGAAGAACTACCTATCCCAGAGGACTTTTCACTGCTCCATTTCTGTTTTCTGTTCAGAAGGAAAGATAAAACTGTTTTCAGGTCACGAGAAGTTCCCTTTCCCTTTTCCCTTGCTGCTCATCTCTGTGGTATGTATGTTCCCTAGCCTTCTTGCCTTCAGCATTAGAGTAAAGCCTTTGGTTTTTGCTCACTCTCTCATTTTGTTTGTTTTTCTAGCTTTAGTTCCATTATATTGTACTATATTGTGTTATCTTGCATTATTATCTCATATGTAGTAAATTAACTTTCCTCCTCAGACCATTGCTGATGTTTTGTTTTTAGGCCCATCTCCCTACCTTTTTCCTCTTTTTCCCTCCCTCCTTTCCCTGGGTATGGGTCCATGGGTCCCCCTGCCCCATTAGTCAAGGATCTGGGCTGTAAACCACTGACAAATAGCAAAATGGCTGCATAGGTTTTCTACATAGCTATTATTTCATGGTAGTTCTCTTGAGGTTCAGGTAGGCGCCTTGTTTATTTCTGCTAAGAAATTAGGAAGTTTTGGATATGATATATGGAATTGACTGGAGTTTTGGAAAATTGAAGCCTTTATATTAAGCTGTTTTTATTGCTATGCTGCATAAAATGAGTCTTCTACATAAGATTTTAAAATTATGCCTATTTTAGATGTGTAATTTCAGTAAGTAATCTTAAGTAATCTTAAGTAAAGCTGCATAGGCGTAAACAAAGACTTCCTTGAATAAAGTTGTTAGAGTCAATATTTTATTACAAGTGTAAGTAAATATATAACTGTAATAACTTTAAACTTTAGGAAGAGGCGATGTTTATTATGTCATGCCAGGTATTTTATCTGTACATAGGATTTCTTTTAATAACTAACAAAATCTTTTCTAATTTATTTGGCAATTTTTCCTTTCTTTTTGCAATAAAAATGTATTGTCATTACCAGACTAAATATATCAACTGTTGTTTACTTTAAAAGTGGGAGTATTTCAAAGAGATTAGACTCTTCAGTGCACTTAAGTCATGATCTTCTTCTGCAGTTAGGTACTGAAAAGGAATGTTTATGTGACCATGTACCCTCTTTTGTGATAGTGTGTCTTGTTTTGGAAGAAGAAAGCTGAGCTTTGAATATAAATAATGTGGGAAACCCTGGTTAGCACTAAATTCTGGCCATTGTGATTCAATTCTTAAGCCCACCAAACGCTGAGTGTCCCCAGTGATGCTGAAATAAACCAAAAAGCCTTACATACTGATTACTAGGGAATGAAGCTTTTTAAGTCTCCATTTTTAACTTAAACAATTCTTTGTAAATATTTTATAAAACTGGCTGCCAAAGCTTTTAGTCTTCTATTACATATTCTAAATGATTACTGCCCTGACAAGTTAACGCTATTTTCCCTTGTGCTTTAAAAAGTGTGATGGTGATTTTGTTGCTGGTTAGCTCTCCATTTGAGTAATGTACAAAATCAGAGCTGAGCTCAAGTGACTTATAACGGAGGTAGAGAATGACTGTGAAGATCTGCTCAGCTCTGTACTTTCTCCAAATTTTGCTTTAACAGGATTTAAAACAAATAAAAGATTTTTGTTGCCAAATTTGTTCAGCTCTGCATTTCTTTTACCAGATTTTATTCTTTGCTCTTCCTCTCTTTCTGCAAAATGACAAATATTTACCTGGGTTACAGGTAAATATTCAGCTTCTTAAAGGCTGCATTTACACTGATGCTTGTAATGACCCAATTATCAGTGAACAAAAGTAGTCATTTGAGTGTTGATAGTCTTTTAGTGTATTTTTCAAAGCATGTAAGGAATGGTGGACGATTTCTCTTTTCATTGTTGTATGTATCTTTGAAAGAGACATCCTCTGGAAATGGACTATCGTCCATGTCTGCAGGCTTACCTGGGTAAGCTTGTATGTAGAAACAGAAGACAACAGTTTGGGACCTATTTAACAGTACCATTGATGCCTAAACTTGAAGAACGATTATGTGAGTCAGCTGAGCAGAATCTACGAAGACTTTATTTGATAACCAGTTTCTAAACAAGTTGTCTTTTTTAGAATTTTCTTGGTGTGCGTTTTTTTTTGTTTTGTTTTTTTTTTTTTCCAAAGCAATTAATAAACATTTCCTATCTTGTAGAGAATTTCCAGAAATTTTCCAGCCATATAAGGTCATATAAAAGAGTATGGTTCTTTTGTGGTACCTAGAGTATATTTTGACATTGTTGTCTTAGTACCAGAGCTCTGGTGGCATGTAATTTCAGATAGCTTCTGTATATCCACTTACAAGGTTTCTAACATTCATGTAGCCCTCCATACAGTTTCCAGTAATGCATCTGCAAAAAGTCTGGATTAAAATTCAATGTCTTCCATTCTGCTTTATGCTGTCATTGACCTACCACTCTATAACAAATGGCATTCTCGATGTTGATGATATTTGCAGAATTCAATCACGTTTGCTTGGCTACGTCAAATAATGTTAACTGTTTATTGCTTACCAAATCTCTGACCTGCAATCTTTACTACTCTTCAGAGTCCAGTTCTTATGAAAACACATTTCAAATAACTACAAAGAAATGGATTAAAAAAATTATTTTCCATTTGTTCCTCATCCTTTCTCTTCATAAAGTACTTGGCTGTTATCTTTTAAACAACTATGTCAGTTACTTCTACTGCAAATATTTGGGCGAGTGATCATAGCCATAAGTGTTTGCACATCTTCTATCATGACAGGGCTCAAGAAGCAACCATCAGAAAAGCATTGTTGATTTCTATTTGATTAAATTTCTGATCTGTTCTCTAGAAAGCATATATTTTCTCACTAAAATCAAATCTATCCAGGTCTGCTGAAAGATCGAATTTACTATTTCTCTATTTCATTTGATTTGTTCAGAAATGAATATTGTGAATAACTCAAGTTATGAAAAACATTCTATCTTTTTATTTCCTAAAATTTAACTTTTGTGTGGAGATTGCACCACAGTTGCTGTGTCAAGAAACTTTACATTTAGGTAACTCTCTGGTTTCTTATTTTGCTTTTGGAGATTTTTTTTTTCCTTTTTTTTTTTTTTTTTTTTCCCCTTGAAAACTTTTTATTGAGTTATAGCTGAAATAATTCTCTCTTTGCTAAGCAGTACAAAAACTGACAGCTCTTCAGGAGTCATAAGCTGTCTTGTCCTGCTATTCAGTGCACTAACATTTTTCTGCTCAGTCATTTACTATCTATTTAGGAGCAGAGATGGAAGAACAGACAATTTTAGTTTCCAGTGAAGAACTTTTTAGCTTCTTTGTGTTTCTCCACATGCCGGTAGTGACACGTATAGTGCTCATTAGTTCCACTTCTGTTACAAGCTCCTATTTAGGTGGAAGGCTGTTCTCAAAACAGACAAAACCTGCAAAAGAATGAACAGACTCTTAAATATCTGTGCAGTGACAAAATTTTGTAATGAGAGAAAAGGACGGATAAATGCAGAAGGTAAAAGAAACAAATCTGCATATGATTTGTGGAATAAAAGGTGTGTCCAGATTTAGCTTTTTTTTTTTTTTTTTTTTTTTTTTTGGACTGTGTGGTATGATGTGGTATGAATGTGGTATGATGATCTATGATTTTTACCATTATGGAGAATAAAAATAGTTGGTCAAGATTAGAGTCTTGACTCTTGGCTCAGCAAACGTCTTTAATTGTTACTCTTCATACATTCAAATTAGTTGACAGTAAGCACATATCTGTTGCTAACCCTAATGTTAACACCATATTGCCTGTTGACAGGCTGATGTTTCTCACTTTTCAGCTGAGATCAGTGCCCATTCACAGGAATCTGTTTCTAACTGCAAGCAGAGCATTTCTCCCATAAGACATTTGTTGCTAGTGCCCTTTGCTTGTGTCCCAGAAGAAGCTTGGTTCTTGTCTAAGCCAACTTATCAGTTAATTCTATTGGCCACAGTACTGAAAAGTGTCACATAATAAAGCTCTTGTCTCTAATACCACTAGACATCTGAGACTTTCCACTAACTCCTGCATGAGGTCAGACTCCATCTGTGATGCAGTGTCCATTTCCTGTGAAGCCACCTTAGTATCCATCACTGGTTGGACAATGAGAATTGAAGATATTTATTTCATATAGCTCCTGCCATGACTTCAAGAGATGCCAGAAGATCTGCTTCACATCCAGGTGTCTTGTCTGGTTTTGTGGGCTCTTCCCATTCACAGTCTTGAATTAAAAATAAGATCAAGGTAGCATACTTAATTTTATGCTTCAATAGAATGCAGAGAAAGTACTCACACAGTTTTTCTCACTTGGGCAGTAGCAACTAAATACTTCATCTCAGCTGCTAATTGCCAAATGCTTTACCGTTCATGATGGATGGAAGAGTGAGATCAAGTATCCCTGGGACTGAGTTCTACTTTGTTATATTTATCCTGAAATGCTTCCAGAATTCCTGAAAGGGATCCAGATCAAGGTCAGAAGATTATTTTTTCTTTGAATGATCCTAAATTTAAGATCAATCTCAAGTAAAACATTAACTTAGCAGCACTGAGCAAGACTGTCTTTTAAACGTTTATTTCAACCTGTTCTACAGGATCATCTTTTTCATTTTAGTAGGATTAGGGCATTGAGGATAGCTTTTTCTCCTGTTACTCTGTGCAATTCAGTATTCAATTTGTAATAAAATTCGGCTTGTCAAACCCAATAAATTTAAAGCAGTATAGTCTATTTCTCTATCAGTCCATTTAAAGTGGTAGTCTTTGCACATATTGAGTTATAATTCCTAATAACAAGGAAACAGGTATATATCCTTTCTGTAGTAACTAAACACTGGATGCCAATCTGCCAAGAGCACTTAGCATTCCTGAAAGATTCTTAAGTCTGTTTTTCAAATGACCCTTGAAGGAAATTCAGAGTTAATACATAGGACTTGTAGAAATTCCCTTTGATTATCTATGGAAATAATAGCTATTGCTTATGTCAGAGATAAGAAAGAAACAGCAAAATTGAGACTGGAAAATTAAATCAGGTTGAAAAGTAAAAAGCACATTCTGAAGAACAGAAATTTTCTCCAAGCTCAAATACTTACTCTAAATAAAGGACAAAAGGAGGCATTTTAAAAATTTTTAAGTTTTCTTTTTCTGGGTTCTGAAAAGCACTAAGTTTATACCCCTTTCAAAGAGATTAACCCTTTTCCACAAGTAATTTAAATTAATTAATATTTTTTACCAAAAATAACTTGGTGAGAATTGTCTCTGACATGAATGTTAATTGACAAGTCAGCTGCCTCATTTCTCATTTTCCTCAATGTTAGATTTCTGGTTTTAACATGAGTGACTTTTTGAAGTCCTGTACTTTTATTTTGTAATAGAGTATGAAACTCAAAAGTTTTCGATTCTACCTGTTTCCATGAAGTTTCACTAATGTTTGAGACTAGTTCCAGCTTAAAATTATTTCTGTGCTTCCCAAAGAATCATGATTATCTTTCTTTTTTTTTTTTTTTTTTAAATTCAAAGAACACCAGTTATTCCTGAGCCTTCTGATTTCTGTGGCGAGGATAAATAACTGACTAAACAACTAAAAGACCACTTAAATATTTCTTTTCAACAATTGATCTCTGAGTCTCAGGATTTTTCTAGTTGAAGTAATGATTTTCAATACAGATGACTTCTGAATAAATGACATAAGATTATAGTGGAACTGTAACATATATCAAATATTGTGAGAAGCCAGTTCTACTTAAAATCAGTGAACTGTAAGCGGCTTTGGAAGATCAGCCCCATGTCCAAAGTAAAATGTATACCTGTGTCACTGCTGATTGATGTTTGTCTAGCTTGTTCTTAAAACATCTTATGATTGTTTATGAGAATGTCTCTAAGAAAGTGTCAAAAACCTTATTAAAATCAAGATATATGACATCTTCCCTGTCCACAAAAACCCTCATGTTATAGTACTGTAAAAAGAAGGCAGATTTGTCTGACTTGATTTATTTTTGACATCCATATTGACTTTTACTATCCTCATTGTTATCTAACATTTATACACAGAAATAGATTGTGCTTTTCTAGGAATTGAAATTTGTTTCTCAGAACAATAATTTTACCGAACCTGTCTTCCTCTCCTAGCATGTTCCTTCTCCATTTTAAAAGAAGAGCATTTCCTTCTCTCTAGTTTTCCAGAAAATACTCAATACTTTCAAAAACAGAAACAAAGAAACAAAAAAACAGCTAAAACTGTTTTTTTTTTCTTTGCCCTATGTTCAGCTGTTCCAGTTTTGCCCTTATTAGTTCATACATGTTTATAATATATGTCATTAGCCACACATGCTACTTTTTTCTTTCTTGTTTGCCTTTTTACAAATGTTCAGAGTCAAGAAAGAGCCAACATTTCTCTAACCAGTAGGAAAAAAAATGACTGAATCACATTTCAAAGATAACAAGAAAGAAAAGCTGCTCCAAGCATATTCCAGTGAAATGCTGGATATTCTACAGGTTCATGTATTTGCTTGCCCTGTTATTTCAAATTTATTGCTGGTTATATTAGTTATTTTTAAAATGTCTCATCCACTTTTTTCATCCTGGTGTAGCAATTAGTAATCAGTTGCACTATTAATACTTCACATTTTAAATCAAAGAAGTCATTTTGGGATGACTCAATTACAATAATTTTGGCATAGGTGAGAACATGATAATTCCTCAAAGGAATCATAGAATCACCACAGTTGGAAAAGACCCCTAAGATCATCTAGTCCAGCCATCCTCCTGCCACCAGTATTTCCCCACTTAATCATGACCCTTAGTACAATGTCTAAATGTTTCTTAAACCTGTCCAGGGATGGTGACATGATCATCTTCCCAAGCAGCCCATTACTATGCAAAGGTATAAGTAAAATCAAGAATGTATGAAGTGATGAGAGAAAGGCTTTTTGTTTGCCTGTGTTTGTTTTTCCATTTGCTTTAAAAAAGTTAAAATATCATAAGATACCTCAGTGATGTTTGCAAAATTTCAAGTGCAGTAAAAAATTGAGGATTTGTCCTATTTCATTTTTCTTTACTTTAAATCTCAATATAATATAAAAATAAGAAGTTATTATCCAGTCCTATCTGAAGAGAGTGGTCACCCACAATCTTTGTACAAAATAGAAAGCCACATTGCTCAGCTACTCACTATAACTGAAGTTTTGAAAATGCTTAGTCTAGCATTAAAAAAAACAGAAGAAAATAAAAGCTAGTGAACATTACAGTAGAAACCACTTACCTTGTGGTTATAAACTTAACATCCTGTCTGACACATACTCATCCTCAATAAGGGATGTAAGGGAGAAATATAGACTTATAATCAGTCAAATTATGAAATCAAAAAGACTCTGGATACTTTGATACATTCTAATTAGAGGAAAAAATTCAAGGTGTAATCTTGTCATCAAGTGCTGTAATTCTGTCAGATCTCACAAGTAAAGTGTAATTGGGCCATGATAGCACTGGATGATCTGCATGAAGGAAAAAAGGTCAGAAAGAGTGATTCTACAGTTTGCGACTGAGATTAGTACTTACGACCTCTTCAGTTAAAAAAATAAAAGTATTCTCATTTTAAAAGCCTACCAAGTAATAAAGAATGGCCCGCTACCTCTCAGGAAATTTTGTTTTCAAGACTTTGTGTCTTTTAAAGAAAATAAAAATCCTTATATAATTTTAAAGAAAATATCATACACTCTCTTGGGAATTCTTGTTTTTCTAGGAGTGCTCTGTACTCCCCTGAAACATGCTAGAGTGCTTTCTGTTTTAGACTAGTGGCAGAAGGCATTTCATTCCCTCAGCCCTGCAGCAGCAGCTCTCAATTCAGTTCATGCACCTTCTATGATGGAATAAGTTACAAAGAACCATAAGAAATTTTATAATGTCTCAATGCCCAATGTCTTTAGATTACCCTGCTGATGTAAAGTGGTGATTGTATGTACACAAACATATATACACCTGTATTAGCATATGTTGACATATGTAGTATATGTGTATAATACATAATAATTTATTCTATTTATAAATGCTTACAAATATGCTTATTATGCTTATTATAAAGAGAATGGATGAGAAAAGAAAGGAAAGGAACATTTCAACTATTTACAAAATTCTTATTTCTCCTTCATGTCAGTGTTTTTCCTGACAAGCTTACTCAGGGTCTTCAGCTACATTTTCTCTACATCTCAAAGGACCTCTTACAGAGATGCTGGATAGCTTTTCTTTCTCAGAGTCTTCAAGATATTCTTTCAAATTCTGTCTTCCTCCCTCAAAGTCTATTCACGAAAATAGCTCTTGGGATGTACACATGTCACCAGCTCTACTTAACTAGTCTATTATTAACCACCTGATTAAATGAGGGAAAGGAATAAATGCTTCCTGGTGACTCAGTCCTTATATCTTACAGAACATAAATAATAACATAATAAAAAATAACAGAATAAAAATAAAACAACAAGCATTCTTGATATCTAAGTAAGATTGATGTATTTAGCCCTTGACTGTAAGACAAAATACAAAAAAATTGAACTGATCTGATATGTTTCTGAAATGCTTCTTAGCACGCAGACACCAATGTGGTAAATATCCAAATGTACAAACACAAGAATATGTATAGATAAGAAATACTTTCTCTGTTCTGCAACCATATATGACTTGTTTTAATAATGTAACATTTTCTTTACCTGTATAAATGGAAAAATGAAAGCAATATAGAAACCAAATTTTGTTTTCATACATTTTAAATAGTATCAAGTTTCAGTGAACTAAAGTTGCTTAATGAATAGAATTGTGCAAGTTAGACAGCAAATCCTCTTACAGTAGCTTTTCCAAAGAGAAAGCTAATAGCAAAACTTGCTTCGCAGGAAATGCATGCTTAAATTAGTTAATACTTTGTTTGACTCCAATGAAAAAATATCATTCACTGTTTGTCACTCCATCTTCAAACTGTGAAAGATCTAAAGTTCAATTCTTTTCAAATACAGAATTGTGAAAAATGCATTTCCATGAAACATGTGGAGGAGATATAGAAGAATCTGAAGATATATTTTTTGAGCTGTTTTGTAATAAGAAAGATCTGCACTGATTTACTTTAGTTTTACTAAGGTAGTTTATTCAACTTTAAAGAGATTTTGCTTATCTCTATTGCTAATACAAGCATGGTAACTAGTAAATCTAATTCTGTAACTACAATTTGGTTAACAATTTTTATGGCAAACATTTTATAATAAAATTACATATCTATTTTTCCTGCTTTAAAAATTCCATTCCAAAAGGAATGAAAAGAATAAAAGATTTATATTTTTTTATTAAAATGAGCAAATATAATCCCCAAAGTAGTGCACTGAATAAGAAGGTGTCATCTTTAAACAGTAAGTTTTATGATTATCACATTTCTCATTATTACTATCTTTAAGGATAAGCAGAGATTAAAAGACTC